ATGAACATGGTGTTTTCAGTAAAATATAAAATAATATTTTAAAGTAAACGACAAAGCAGTTTTTTATTCCCCCATCAAATAAGACAAGTCTTCATTAGGTCAGGTTTATTAAAAGTGCAAATGTTAGAGACATCAGTAGAAAAAAATAAGAAAAAAAAACAAAACAAGAAATCTACATAAATACTGCTGATATTGTGCAGATTGTTCTAATTACATTTTTGCACAGATTTCTTTGCATGTGTAAAATAACAAGATTGCACAGAGTTGTTGAAACACAGATTCTCCCACAAGTAGAAAATATTCATGTTAAAGATTCTGTCATTGCATAGATTCAGATTCTTTTGGAAGAAAAAATCCTCCACATGTAGAAGAAACTGATCTTATAGAGAGTGTTTTAAATATGCAGAATCCTCATGATGCATTGATGTCGCGCCGGATTGAAATATGTTGTTTCTCTACGTGTCGTCTTCTGGGGAGCGGCGCTGCTTGTAAAGTATTTAAAAATAAATGCAAAGAGTGTTTTCATTAAAATATAAATTAGCCTTTTTAAGTAAACGGAAAAGCTCTTTATTCCCGTTTGAATTTGACACGCCGCCCACCGGAGCCGGGACATCACAGGCTGAATGTGCAGAGCCAAGGAAGAAACAGTGCAGCTCCTGTAAAAGAAGAACAAGAACTAGCTGCTTGCAATGTATTTTCAAAAGGTGCTAAATGTGTGAACATTTGGCTTTTCAAGATAAATGGAGAGGGGCTTAAAAAAAAACACTGTTCTCAGTTTTTTGTGCTCACAGAGCTCATCGGAAAAAAGAAAACAGAATGTTTGAGCTTACATAATGTATATAAAGGCATTTAGTGAGGTGTGAAAAAATGCATCCTCCGTTCTTATACTCAGGCTGCAAAATAGTTTTAACTAGTTTGTCATGAAATCAGTTCATTTGAAATCTAAAAAGTGGTTTTAATTTATTCATCACACTTTCCAAACGATGACACCGTCACAACCAGCTGTCGTACCTGATGAGTTTCATTCTCACACAAGACAAAAAAAATAAAATAAACAAGCTTATATTAGTATAAAAAATTATCTAAATCTTAAAAGCGCTAAAAACCCCGCTGGCAGGTTGTGTGTATTTTTAAAAATATTACCAAAATGACACCATTTACTAGAGCAAGAAACAGGTAAAAACTGATGAAAATGAACCAAAAGCTGAGCCTAAAACGTGTTATTTATTTATTATAAACTTTATTTACATGCCTCATTTAGAAATTCACAGAAAATAAGCCATTCCCACCAGATTTTGTACAAAAAAACCCCAAAACTCTGCACCTCAGCTTCAATCAGCAGATACAGTCAAATGTATTCATCCCCTTCCGGTAAAGAAAAGACAAAATTCACAAAAGTCACTCAAATATGAAGAAACTAAAAAAAAGTAATAATAAATAAAAGAAATTTAAATTATAATTTAGTGAAATGAGATGTTGCTTTTGAATTGTGGGTGAAAAGAATAATTTTAAAAATAAATTTAAAAAAAACAAAAAAAAACTGTCCTGGACAAATTAGAGCACTTTGCTGATGAGCCAAAATTGTAAAANAAGCCATTCCCACCAGATTTTGTACAAAAAAACCCCAAAACTCTGCACCTCAGCTTCAATCAGCAGATACAGTCAAATGTATTCATCCCCTTCCGTTAAAGAAAAGACAAAATTCACAAAAGTCACTCAAATATGAAGAAACTAAAAAAAAAAAGTAATAATAAATAAAAATTTGCTAAATTATAATTTAGTTAAATGAGATGTTGCTTTTGAATTGTGGGTGAAAATAATAATTTTAAAAATAATTTTAAAAAAAAACTGTCCTGGACAAATTAGAGCACTTTGCTGATGAGCCAAAATCAAAAAAATTCAACAAAATTCAACAAAATATACTTTACGGGTCCCATCATGCATTTTTTATTTTTATTTTTTAAATATTTCTCTTGAACCACAGTTCAAATGCAATGTCACGATTTTCATTACATTTTTATTTATTATTACTTTTGTCAGTTTCATCTTATTTCAGCGACTGAAGCTGTTTTTTTCCTTCTTTAATGGGAGGTATGAATACATCTGAGGACGACTGTAGGAGACGAGCATAGAGACAAGTTGGACATTGAGATCAAAATCTAACCGACTGGATCAATAAACTAAATGCAGCATGTTTGATAAAACAGTGAACAGAGGATACATGCAGCATGGTGAAACAGCTTATGTATGTTGTAAAGCTGTAAATATTTAAATATATTAGCATGCAAAGGCACCATTTTTCCAGCATTTCTGTCAAGTAAATCAAATAAATTCACATTTCTTTTTCATGATTTATTGCATTATAATATGTCTTAATAGACTTTTCTGACTTCTCTCTACTTCTAGTCATGTCGTTCTGTTTCCGTGGAGCTGCAGGACTTTATATTGCAGTGAGAAATGAATAAAAGAACAGCTAGAAACTGCTCGGAGTCCGGAGGGTTAAATATATTTGCTGAGGTGCAAAATCTGAGAACATTTAGTTTTTCAAGGTGAATGGGAGGAAAAAAGAAAAACCAACAAGAGCGTTCATTCTCTCAGAGCTCGGCTGGAAAATAAAGCACACGTTGAGAATCTTACATAATTTATATAAAGGCTCTAAGAATAGTTCGTATTCTTCCTGTAATTTTTTAATCTGAATCTGAAGCTGACACGAGCTCCTGTGTCCTCGGTGATGATGCACATACATGCACACTGGTTCACTGTGCGAGTGTTTAATGGTGCTGCAGGGTGTTTAAATCCGTCCTCCTCTGTCTGCAGCGTGTCACATCCTGGAGTGCTCCGAGGGTCTAGCTCAGGAGGTCATCAGCACCATCGGCCAGGCCTTCGAGCTGCGCTTCAAGCAGTACCTGAAGAACCCCCCCAAGCTGGTCACGCCTCACGACAGGTACGTAAAACAGAAAAACGTAGCTCACAGGAGCCAAAATAACCGTCGCTCACCGGTGGCGTTTTGTGGCTCAACGCTGCGTCTTGTTTCTCTGCAGGATGGCTCCGTTTGACGGCTCGGCCTGGGAGGAGGAGGACGACGAGGCCGCTCCGCCTCCGGAGGTCCCGTACTACAACAACTTCCCTGGAAAACAGCCTCCCCCCGGCGGACTCGTCGACATGAGGACGCGTCCGGGGGCCACGCTGGTGAGCCGAGCGAACAGTAGCGATGAAAAGACGTGTTTCTGCACGTCCACACGGCGGTTAGAGGATGACACACAATCTGAGAAAAACGTTTGTGTATTAAAGCTGCAACCAATGATCAGCTTTGATTAACCCTCTAGATTCCATGTTTGCTCCTGTCACATTTTGACTCACTGTGGTCTCATTTATAAAGTCCTGCACCTCAGTGGAAACCATAAAGAAGAAGACAGAACTCTTCTGTGCAGCAGGACACAGCTAGAATGCCATAAATCAGTAAAATTATTATTATTTACGGGCATGAATTGAGGGAAAAAAATGAAATCGACATATGCAATGTTTAAATTCTTTATTTTAAGTGTCCAAAAGTGTTACAAATACTGGATCATTTTAATTTTCATTGCCAAAGATGTTTCAGTATTTACATTTTTAATTTGTTTCTGTACTCTGACCTGCTCACAGCCTGCAGCTCACCTGAATATTCACTGAATTTTTTGTCACAATAACTGTTGGTCTCAGCCGGGTCACTAATAGTTTTTCATTTGCAGGAAAGAGTGCAAAATTTTTATTTTTTTACGGAAACTAGTTATCATAAACTATTTATTTTTTGGCATTTTTTTAAATAAGACGTACAGAATAAAGTGAGTTTGATGAAATATCACCGTTTGGTTTCTCGACAGAACGGCACATCACAGATCTGACGATTCCTTTCTGTTTTTACAGTTTCTTGAGCTGAGACATGGGGGTCATTTTTGAAGACAAAATGCCTGTCAAACCTGCCGGCAGGTTTTGGTGTTCAGAGGGTTGATCTATCAGTTAGTTTCTCGATTAATCAGTTCGTTGTTTGGTCTATAAAAGGTGAAAAACAGTTTGCTGTCACAGAGATTTAAAAACAAAACAAATATTCCCATTTGAACAGCTGGAATCAGAGACTTTAGACTTTTCTTTATTCCAAATATGCTAAAACAAGTGTTAAATGATCAAGTATTTGGACAACTAATCGGCTATTCGTTGCATCTCCTTTGTTTTTACAGTAAAAATTTGCCCAAATCTAGTTGTCAGAGTTCCTGAGTCCTCCTTCAGTTTCTGCTGCTGTTGTTTTGGAAGCTCACAGGAGGATGTCACTCAGAAACCCTTTGGACTTTTTATGACTTCTTTTAGTAGAGTTTGGGTGTTTTTGTCGAACCAAATAAAACAGGGGCTCGGATGTAATCGAGTAAAGTACAGAGCAGCTCGTGTGGACGCGCCCTGAGAGCTGCTGATTTACAGACATAATTACTGACCTCCGTAATCCGCTCTGATTGGCCGGAGGCTGGATTTATTTGAGGACGCGCTGCGGTGACTCACTGTTTGTTTGTGTGCTTCTGTGTGTTTGCAGCCTTACGGACAGCCGGGTCAGAACGACATTCACAAGCAGCCTCTGCCTCCTCTGCCAGGTGAGCTCCATCGGTTCTGGGAATCTGTGGACGTCAGTCAGGCACAAAATCGAATTAAAGCGCTGATTATCCTGCACATTTCCTACATAACTAATCATACGGACCAGCTTGTATTCTTAGCTGCTATAATATAAATTTGTCCTTGAGGTTTGTGCCACAATTTTGTTTTGTCCATTTCTTCTTGTGCTCAGCTGATTGATAATCAATATTGATGGGTATCATTAATTGATCCGGTACTTTACCAATAGCTATGAATGATCCGGAGAAAACATCTAATTGCAGCTTTTTCTAATAAATATTCCAATTTTTGATAGATTTTAAAGCTTCAGTTTCATCTTTATTATCTACTAGATTTTTAAACATGTGGTGAATCATTGTCACGAGATGCAAAATATGATCTGCTCTATATTTCAATATAAAGATGAGAACTTGAAGACGTAAAACTGCCCTTAAAAGTGAATTTATTGCATTTAAAACAACAGCAACAAAAGCTTTGACTCTGTTCTGCTAAATATATAAAGTAAGAATGATTTCAAATTCAAAAAAAAATATCGGGACCTTTCTGTATTTTCAGTATTTTGCACAAATCCAATTAAAAAAAGTAAAAAAAAAAAAGGTAAAAATACATAAACCCCAGCTCAGACACGCTACATATCCTAAACTGCAGCCTTTGTGATTTTCTAACTGTTGCGATTTTAATTTGAAAGGGATTCGTTGTTTAGCCCCATTTAACAGCTTCTTTATTCCATTTTAAGAGGAAAAAATTAAAGATTAAGAACTGAAATAACACTTTGCCCTTTTTTTTTTAACTTCACTTTTAAGTAAAAAAAAAAAAAAACTGAATAATATTTTTACTGAAGGAGAAAGTCTTAAATAGTCGAACCAAAGCCGACATAAACTTAGAGAAAAGGTGAAATTACAGCAAAAGTTTGCAGCTTTTAATTAACTGAACCCATCTGCTGTGAGTTTGTAAATGAGGGTTCAGACGGTGCAGCAACAGATGAACTTGGAGCTCAGCAGTCCAGACATTTCTCAACTTGATGAAGCTTCTCTTGATGTTTGATCGCTTTCAGCTCCTACATGTGTTGGATTTGTCGCATTTTTTTAGCAAATGCATCATAAAACTCTTCAGATAAAACAACGTTTATGTAGCATCAATGAATAAAAAATCTACTTTCCTCGTTTCTCCGGCAGCGACGGCAGAACCGATAACGTCAGAGCTCATCGATCCTCCACCATTTAATATCTGTTTAGTTACAGGTGTTGGCATCTAGAGCACTAATGTCTTCTTGTGGCTCCTTTGTTTGTTTTCTTTTTCAGTGGGTGCCAAAGAAGGAGCGCGAGAGATGTTCGATGACCCGTCGTACGTCAACGTGGACAAACCTCGACCTCCGGCTGCAGCGAACGGAAACGCTCACAGAGACGCTTTTGACATGAGTGAGTGTTTAAAGTGCTGCAAACCTACATAAGAAAGGAGATTTTTCTCACATTAACCATCTGGATCTGAGCATCTATTAGCAGTTTACTCACACTTACATTGAAACAATCTGGAAAACTACATTTTTTTTTGCACCTTCTATTTATAAACTGAACCTGCACATACGTTTCCACACAAGTGCCGGCTTATATGTACTTTTTTCCCATTCATATGAGCCGTAAATGTTCAGCACTGTTGTTTTTGTTTTGTTTTTAACACACTGAATCAGCTCCTGAACAGTTTTCCGAGGTTGCACATGTGTTTTTACTGTATTTTTGTATTTTATATTTGCACATTTCTTACTGTACTTTTATGAAAAACAGTCGTCTGATGCTGTGAATGCACCGACAGGATTACAGCTTGGTTTCATTCTGCTCTTTGCAATGACGATGCAGAAATTCTAGGCCTTGCTTTCAGTCATTCAGCTCAGTTTATTGCAATTTAAACACGTTGAAATCACAAAATTTGTTAACCAGGTCCAGCAGCGTACAGAATAAACAACATTTTTGCAGCCAAATAGAGATAAAAGATCGACTTATGATAATTAAATAGCCTAATAGCCTGTAATAAATTGGACAGATAGGTGATAGAACATGTAAATGACCAGATGTGCCGCCAGAATGACCAGATTTGTCGGGAGTTAGTCGATAGAACAAGGGTTAAAGTCACTGGTGAGGGAGCCGAGCAGAGTGTTTTGCTCTTTACATTCCATATGACTGATGCTAATTGCGGGAGTGAAGCTGTCCACAGAAGGCAGCCTCGGAGGAAGATAAGGAAATTAGTCTGTCTTTGTCCATTACGGCAGCATTTTATGTAGCGTTATTGGCCGCCTGCATAAAGCCTTTCACGGTAAAGACACAATCTGTGTGCAGCAGCTGTCACGCGGTTCATGTCCACGCATAGGATCGGCCGTGTGTTGCTCTAAACAGGAATGCATTCATCTTTCTGTGTAACAATACGTGTGTGTTTGTTCTTCCAGAGCCTCTGGATGATGCTCTGGGGGTCTCGGGCCCGAGCTCGGTGACGGCGACGCCCTCCCTGGTGCAGCAGCTGCAGGCTGAAACCTGGTTCCACGGCAGCTTGAGTCGCAGGGAAGCGGAGCGGCTGCTGACCCGAGACGGAGACTTTCTGGTCCGGGAGTCCGGGACAACGCCTGGGCAGTACGTCCTGACAGGGCAGCAGGGAGGGCAGCCCAAGCACCTGCTGCTGGTCGACCCGGAGGGAGTGGTGAGTCGGGATGCTGGTGGGAGGGCAGGAGAGAGTGGAACCAGAAAACCCACATTGTATTTATAAAACTGCCAAAACAAGACAATTTAGCAGAGTCAGAAACTGTAAAAACATACACAACCATCAGATTTACGTCCTGTTTTGACATCTTACTGCAGTAAAAACACCCTAAATGTCATTTTTTTAGCCTGAAGTCTGATGAATTTTCTTAAAGTGACCCAAAATACACAAAATGAAGATGTTTTCAAATTGTATACCTTTGTACAGGTGCTTCCAATTTTTGTACACTGAGGCTGTTTCGGGTCAAATTTGACACGTATACCTACTGAGATGGATTTTAGATCCACCAGCGTGCGTCAAATCAAGGAGAATCTTGAAACTGTGAAACTGTCCAGTCCATGTTTTATGTGTATTTTTCATTTACATGTATTAATGTGGTGAGAGCTCTTTAGACAATTTATACAGATCTGTAGTTTAACATTTGGTGTAGACACTTCTTACGAGGGAATTCTTGACATGAATTCACAAAATATGCATAAAATATGAACAATATGTAAGAGTTAGAATCCTAATATTTCATCCAAAATCGCTTTATTCTACAAGTCTCAATGAAAAATTTGCCAAAAATAAACCACTTGTGTCAACCAGATTTTGTAAAACATAAATTCTGCTCTTAGACTTTCTTTATTGTCATTGCACAAAAACACAATAGTGAATGCTTGGCTACTAGAGTGCACAGAACCGCAGCTTGTGAGGCAGTGACATGTTCATAAATACTGTAAACATGTAACTATGAATATTTATATATAAGAAAAACTAGTGCAATGGACAAAGAGCTAAATATAAACAGTATAAGAATCATATAAAGATTAAAAAATAACTGTTTAGTCAAAAAGTATAAGGAGCAGAAATATAAACAGAATAAAAGTAACAGTGTCAGAATAATAAATGAAATATTGCACTCTAAGCAATTAAGCAACACAACTAGGAAGCCATGTACCACCATTTATCAGAGTCAGAAACTGTAAAAACAAACACAGTCATCAGATTTACATCCTGTTTGGCAACTCACTTTATTCTGTATGTCTTATTTTAAAAAATGCCAAAGAAATAAATAGTTTACAATGACTAGTTTCTGTAAAATACAAAATATTTTGTGCTCTTTCCTGCATCTGAAAAGCTATGAGTGACCCAGCTGTGACAAACAGTCACATGGCAAAAATTCTGTAAACATTTGGCTGAACTGTGTTTACAGGAGACAAGCATGGAGTCGAATTAGAGAGATTGAGAGCGAAATAAAACATATTTACACAAAAAATGGCTGAAAAACAGTAAACAGAGGAGCATGTTGTTGGAAGATACATTCAACATCCCCCTACAGCTAATATGCATCCGTAGCAGCTATAAGTTTATACGTTTTTATGAAAAATCCAAATAGTAAATATCTATAGTCTATAAAATAACCATTTTCTCCCAATATGGATATCACCTGTAGGGACGAGGAGAAAATGTTGCACGTTTGTATAATAAATAGTAATAAAAAAAAGACACGTTTTCTATGATTTGTGGTTTTATAACTTCATTATACTGCAAAGAAAACATGAGACCACACAGAGGAACGATGTGGAAAAAATGCGGTTACATTATAGACAGTGAAAAAGCTCTGTCTCTGTTTTTTCTTTGTTTAAATTCTCCTTTGAATTCGAGGCGGCACAGATGAAGCACTTCTACCACGAAGCAGGCACTGCAATGAACTCTTCAAATGTGTTTGCTGACGTTCAAACTGTCTGAACATTTGGTTTTTCAAGGTTTCACGGAGCTCAAAAAACACACATTGAACATCTTACATAATCTCAGGGTCCAAGAACGGCTGCTTTTCAAACAGAATTCCTCCGATTCTTTGTGCTTGTTTATTCTTCGATCTGAGGGAAGCTGAACTAAAGCAGTTAAAGTGAGATGGACACGCTGCTCGTGTGTCCTTGGTGAAAACGCACACACGTGTAGTTTCCTGCTTTCCTGCCTGACAACATCTTTGGCTAGCCTTTTCATTCGAGTGCATGCCGCTGCAGCCTCCTCATCAGCTCTTTGTGATTTATGGCCTTCTAACTGTGTCAGCGCTGCACAAAAGGCGTAGAGGTGCAGGAGTTTACACTGCAGAGAAGAAACCGTCTGTTTTCAGAGGATTCGTTTGCATTTTGTGAACATGATTGTTTGTAGACTGACGTACGTTTCCCCCTTCCTTTCAGGTTCGTACAAAAGACCATCGGTTCGGGAGCGTCAGCCACCTGATCAGCTACCACATGGACAACAGGCTTCCCATCGTGTCGGCCGGCAGCGAAGTGTGTTTGCAGCAGCCGGTGGAGCGCAGGGCCTGACGCGACACGAGCCAATGAAATACCCCACCAAAAAGAAAAAAAAAAAAAAAAAAAAAACACACGCACAAAACACACACACACAAAGCAAAGAAAGCCAAAAAAACGAAACAAAAAAAAATCGAACCAGTTTCTCTGCAAAGTCACCCACTTGCTGCTGTCGCCGAACATCCCGTTGCTGCAGTTTCTCAGCCTACTGTGAACCAGGGAGGAGCTTTGAATCACACAAAAACAAATGCAATTTCTTTTTTTTTTTTTTTTTTAAAGGAGAAAAAAATTAACAAGCAAAGATGAAAAAGAAAAAAAAAAAATACAAAGACTCGTGTGCTTAAATCGTGGAGCGAGATCTTGTTGTCGCTGGAGAAAGACTGAAGCGAGCGCAAACGTATGAACTCACTGGAGCACTTCAGCAGCAAACCCTGACTCTGAGATGATTCTGGCTGGTGCATATGCATTAAAAAAAAAAAAAAAAAAGCTTCCAATCTAATCAGGAGCACCACCCCCCCAACACCCCCCACCAAACACTCCCCTTTAAAGGACTTTTGGAGGAAAAAGCCTGTATGCAAAACTGGGACTGCTATGCCAATGACCATCAACACACGTTCTTCATTTGTCTGGAGACTTACCGGACGCTCTGATTACAGGAGGATCAGAACAGCTGTACCTTTTCTAAAACCCACCTTTCTGCACCACCAAAGAACACGAACTCGGTTGCCGACGGCAGAAAAGGAAGCCATGATCAGCAGCTATCTGTGCTCACAGCGTCGGGAGCGAGGAGGGTGGAAGCGGGCCTGTTTCAGGGCGATTGTGCCTCATCTAAAAAGGAGATTTTAAGTACACTGATGTCACCTACAAACACAGTACATCCGCAGACGGGTCGGCCTTCGGGCCCGCTGCTTTAACAACTTAGTATGTGTTTGCATTGACAATCTATGGGTTCGATCTTTTTTTCAGAGACTGAAAGCGAAGAAGAGAAGATTATCTCCATGAAAATCAATCGGTTCCTCTGATTTTTTATTTTTTTTATGTGCAAAAGCTTCAGTGTGTTTAATGAGAGCAGGCACAGTTACAGGCGTTTCAAGTGCACGAGGGCGGATCGAAATTTTGCACTTTGCCTCCACTTTTTAGTTTTAGAAGAACAGTAGAAAATCACGTGACATTTTCAGGGCTGCAAAACACATTTTTAGCTCCGTTGAAAACCGAATCAGTTTCATATCCACTCCAGGTGTCGCAATCTAAAGGATTTCTCCTATAAGTGACTTTGAGCATCGTTAGTGTGGGACGTATCGTAGTTTGCGTCCCGGTGAGGACACCCAGGATCTTTCTGCGTGGAGTCTCCATGTTCTCCCCTTGCAGCGAGATTCTCCGGCTTCCTCCCACAGTCCAGAAACATGTTGAGGTTAATTGGTGATTCTAAATTGTCCGTAGGTGTGAATGTGAGTGTGCTTGGTTGTCTGTCTCTAAGTGTAGCCCTGTGATAGACTGGTGACCTGTCCAGGGTGTCCCCTGCCTTCACCCTGAGTCAGCTGGGATAGACTCCAGCCCCCCACGACCCTCGTGAGGATTAAGCGGTGTATAGATAATGGATGGATGGTTCTGACCAACCACCACGAGCCTTGAAAGTTCACCTAAAATGCACTTTTTAAAGTTTCACCAAAATGATCAGAAACTTCTCTAAAATTACTCAATTTTTGTCCAAGATGACTCAAACCTAGAAGGTGTCAAACGTGAGTCAGAACAAGACCTCTAATGTGCTAGAACTTGTTCTGACCAACCACCTATCAAACATGCCGAGACAAGCCTTAAAAACGTACCCAAAATGCACTTTTTGAAGTTTTCTGTGATAAAATGTTCAGAAAACAGAAAACACATCCAGGGTCCCAATGATTGTTTCTATTAGTTCACATCACAGACATCAACCTGCTGCGGTTTTACTGTTGAAACGACGATACATCCCATAATATTGATGCTCAAAGTTGGCTATAGGGGAAAATTGTGACACCTGTAGTGGATGTACAATTGATTTGGGTTTTTTTTCTGCCTTGAAAATACTTAAGAAGTCACGAAGCTCAGAAAATGCTGGAAAATAACGTGAATTAAAGAGATTTTCACCCACTTCTGTGTGCTTTAAAGGCCTGTAGCTCTGAAAATATTCCCTTCATTAAATGTACTGAAGTTATTGCAGATAAAGAATCAGCTGAGTCACTTCTTTGTGGTTGATGTTAAACGGATTAAGCCCCTTTTTAAACGACGGCCGCTGTGAGAGGAGCTGAACAGTAAAGCAATGAATTTCCCTGCAAAAAATAATGCAAACTCTGTCATAGTAACTGGTTGTGTACTTTCTGTGTATTGTGATGTTTCTTGCTCAGTTTTTCACTTGAGGGAATAGTGTCCTTTTCTTTCTTTCTTTTTCTTTGTATGAAGCGAAGCGACTCGGGTGTAAATGACTGTAAAGGACATTTTGAGAGACGAAACGCCAAATGTTCCTCCTCGATGTGCTGTTGTTCTTGTTTTCAAAGACTCTGGAGGGACCTGGAGGGAGAAGTTCACGCTATCGTTTCCTCCCTCAGCTCATGGTGTCGTTGTGGTTTTTTTGATATCTTTTTAATCGTGCCTTGTTTCCTTCGATGCAGTCACGTCACTTCAATGCAGTCACCTTATGTACTTAATTCTACAGGAAAAAAATCTTACACAAGTCTCTCAGTTTTAACAAAGACTCTGCAAAAACGACACTCCGACAAGCAAACAAAACAAACACACAAACCGATCCAGTGATGGCAATCTGCTCTGATGCACATTCTTGCATTCAGCTTATAGTCACAGATACTTGATGTCACCACCGGGGAAAGGGGCGAGGGTATTTCCTGATCATCTGTAAATAACATCGATCTTTCGGAGCTTGATTATTTTTCTTTTTTTTTTTTTTCTGTGTATTTAATGACTTATTTGATGGGTAACACAGAGCCAGGCGCCACAGCAGAGAGAGGGGAGCTCAACACAGAAATCTGGAAACGCGAGAAGGGATCTGACGGCCTGAACCTTAGCCGTCGTCGAGCATGAAATCGAACGCACGCATACCGGAGCGACAGCTGGGTCGCGCTCGGCCCGTTCAGACGTTTGTAGGTCACGTAGGGAAGTGCGCTGGAAGCGACCCTCTGTGTTATCGTTGTTCATCACAGTTGCCTTTTGTTGCATGAAAAAATCCTTTCAAAAGAAAAAAACAGACAAAAAGAAAACAAAAAATCTGTGTTGTTTGTTGTTGGTGATGGTGATAGTTGTTGATTGATGCTGTTGTACTTTTAAATTTTTTGTTTTGTTTTTTGAAAGCCAAAGGTTACTTTCAAACTGCGTGCACAGATTATTGATTTTTACTTTATGTTTCTGTTTTAATACTTTTGTTGTTGTTGTTGTTGTTGTTTTGTTTTTGTTTTTAGGGAAACATGTCTGTTTACACCTGTATCTGAAAATATAGATTGCATATATAAATACATATATCATTCATCTCTCTTTGTGAGTTTGGCTCTTGCTGTGGTCGCTGTCCAGTCGAGTCACGTTTAAAACAACACACTGAGCCACAATGTGTTTCAGGAGAGAAATCAGATCGGCAGATTTACCTCATAAAAATTAAATGTTCATGTCGAGACCCGTCAGTATGATTTATTATATGAATATACCTGAATAATTTAAATATTGAGGTTAACCAGCTAATACAATACATAAAATACAAATTTACCTTATTTAAAAGTTTCAGTTAAGACCCTAAAATAACATAAAACATAAATTTATTTGACTAAATTACATATTAAGGTTAAGACCCTACATTATTTATTTTGTAAATGTTCCTAACTGATTTAAATATTACAGTTAAGACTATACAACATTGTATAAAATGCAAATTTATCAGACTTAGTTTAATAATAATGTTGCTCTGATTGTACCATATTATTTATTGTGTTAGTGGTCCTGACTAATTTAAATATTAAATTTAAAAACCTACAATATGAATTAAGCAAAGTGTCCTAATGAATTTAAACATTACGATTACAATTTTATTTATCATGTAATTTTAACTCAATAAATTAAATATTGAGGTTAAGACCCTACAATTGAAATAACATAAATTTACTAGACTACTTTAAACATAAGATTAAGACCATATAATATTAAATAAAATGCAAATTTACAATTTAATATTAAGTTTAAGCCTGAAATATTTTTATTATGTATTAATTTACTTGATTAATTTAAATATTAAAGTTAAGACCATGTAACATGTATGATACAGATTTAACTGAATAATTTAAATATTAAAATAAAAATATGACCATACATTGTTATTTACAATGTAAATTTACCTGAGTAATATAATTAAGAATAGGACCTCACAATATTTTATATAATACAAATTTAATTTATTGATTTTAATATTAAGATGGTATTATTTACATATGATCCTAATTAAACTGAATAATTTGAATATACAGTTAAAAATTGGAAGAAAAAAACCCCCCGAGTAATATAGATATTATGGTCATGAAATCGCAATATGTTAAATACAAATTTAACCGACTAAAGTGTGCATTTAATTCCCTACAGTGTGATTATTTTTTCTAATTTACTTGATTATTTCAAATATAAAGGTTTAGAACATACAACAGTGTTTATTCTACCAAACTACCTTACACATTTTTTTAAAATTAAGCCAAATACCTTACAGTATTTGACACAGAAAATGTGGTGAATCCAAATATTCCCTTCAAGCAGCATATTGGTTAAAACTCATCCAGCAGGGCCGGGTTCAGGGAGGGCCGACGTCTGCCTCCCCCAGGCGGGGTGAGGATAAAGAAGACGGTCCAGGCAGCTCCAGATTTAACAGAATCGTACATTTAATTGTGCATTTACTACCTTGTTTGACACAGATTCTTTTCTCTGTCCGTTACGGTAAACTTTAATGCAGAATGAAACAACAAAGCACAAGCTGCTGGAAGCCCTGTCACACACCATCCCGAACAAAGACCGGGACGTGGCTGCTGGAACTCTCCTGTTTGTGGCCGGATGAGGCTTTTACAGCAGGAGGCTTATTCAGGGATTATGACAGCCCCAGCAGAGTCACTGTGTGGGGAGGGTAGCATAAATAAAACACATGGGAACAGCAAAGGTAAACAGGGTGTCGGGGGAAGAGTCGAGAAAATGCCGGATGCGGGTGCTTTAGGAGGTTATAAGTAGAGGTGAGCGCCGAGCCGACCTCAGCTGCTCCACGAGTCCGATCCTATTTGTCACGCCTCACCTTCCAGTCCTCCACATCCACGACGTCTGGTTGCTGCTGCCCAGCCATGCACCCCCAGCGACCTCTCCCCCAGGCCATGCCCTCCTCGTCCCTGGGACAGCACCTGAGGGACATGGCCATGGGTCTGGGGCGAGGCAAGAACCTTCTGGGAGGAAACTTCGCCTACGGATTCATCCAGTCCATCAAGGAGTGCCTCTACTTCCTCCTCTGCTGCTGGTGTATCAAGGAGATCCTGGACTGACGCACTGAGAGCGGATCAAGTGGGAAAGCTTTGACATTTTCCGTCATCCTCTGTAATTTCAACCGGCTTTTATCTCATCAGACATGGAGTGTTTGATCGGCGTCGCAGGCAGAGCGTTGGCAAGTACGAGTCTTGTTTTGTGTTCAAGTTATACAATATTTAGATCAAACGAGATAGAAAATGTATGAAAAGCTTCACAATATTGCTGGCTCTGTTTTTCAGTGTCTATAGGATGCTCAGTTCTGCACATTTCAAGATGCAACAGATGTCCATTGTGGGTTTTCTGAATCCGACCCTGATGATCTGAGATTTCCAGGAACACGGCGCCCCTGATGTTCTCTGCACAACACACACTGACGTGGCAATGAATAAAGATACCAATAAAAAAGAAAAGAATGGATTTTTTATTCCTTTTGTTTTGATCGCATTTTAGTTAAGAGCCATTGTTAAAACGAAGAACAATGATTTAGGGTGTACTGTGGATTTAAACATGCTATAAGTCTGATTTTATTTAATTAGTCAAACCCTGCAAAATAGTATTTCTTGATGGAGCTCCAATTTATGTTGCCAAGTTTTTATTTTATTTTATTCCTTCTGGCTGGAAATGGCCTAAACAACAGATGGTATGAAATTTTGTTAGAGCTGTTGCTTAAAA